CATCTAATAGACCAAGAGCATAGTAAGCATCTTTGTAAGACTCATGTACAATTCCATTAATTGTCCTAATATCATCATAGCATGTAGGACCCTTGATCTTGTTAAGCAAAATCCATAGGTAATAAATGTTACTAGCCTTGGGTGAAACATGGTTTAATCGGCCGAGTGCCTTGGACTTCATTTTTCTTTTTGTCCATATCTTATCTGATTTATTCCAAATATATTTAGTTGGGAATTAAACATATGACAACTTCCGTGCATCTTCATCATGCTTGTTACACTCCATCCAAGCTAAAAATTGAGAAGCAGCGACAATCGGTTTAGAAACAACGTGATTAAGATGTTGGTTTGGTTTAAAAACAACATGTTGTTTGTGTTCGCGGTGAAATGACAACCTTTCGACAGACAGTGTTCAATAATGAATATCATACCCAAAAAGCCTCCAACATGCCTCACATGCTGAAATATAACGATAGTTATAGAACTCACTAATTTCGTCATGGTCGTTATTTTCTATCTGTTGTTTTTTCTTTTGTGTTGGATCAACAATAGATGTTGTTATCCTATCCGATCCTTTGTTAATATACTTAAAAAGATACTTTATCGCTCCAACCTGGTTACACCACTCTAGATTCATGTGAGCTTGATATTGTTTCAGAAGGATCTTATTATATGGAACTACATTTTTGAAAAATCAAGAAAAGTGTCATAAACAACATTGAATGATAATTTGAGGTTAACATAGGTAGAACATACGAAAACATATATAATGAGTAATACGTTTTTATAGATTACATTATCCGTTTAAAAATATAATATTTGTACCATTTTAATTTAAGTTTTTTATTGATATTTATGTATTTAAACATATAATAATATATTTCATAAAAACAAAGCAAATTTAAGGAATTAAAATTTAGTAAATCATTGAAAAGGATTTGTGTATATCTGTTGTCCAAAGAAACACCATTTTTAAGGACATTATTTCCATCGTTACATCTCCGGTAAATAGGATAACCATCTTCATCAATATATGTGTGGTCGGTATATTCCCATGGAAATCGTTTTGAACATTTGCTTTTTTTCATACATGGCATAAATCGTCGATCGTTGCCACAAGGTCCGTGTATCATGTTATCACAAACAATCTGATGCGAATTGGGTTCACTATCCTTGTCTGGCAATTCAGCACATATAACACGGTCTATGTCTTCAGGATTTGGAATTTTAGAATTTTTTTTTCCAAAAACAGACATACATGACAATGTGGCAGGCCCCTCTTTTGAAACTCAATCATATATACAACTGTGTGAGCAAAGAAAGCAACTAGGGTTAAAAGATAAAATTATCAAAAAGTTATAATGTTAATGAGTAAAAAATATATAAGATTGATACCTCCAACGACTTCACCCAAACTTTTTTCATCCTTCAATTGACTGATTAATGAATCAAGTTTAATTTTGAAAATTCGTGTCAGAATATCTGGCCTGTCTTCCAGTTTAAGATTCTTGGCTTCAACAAATTTAATGACTTCTATCCATTTAGGATTACATGTAAAGGTTAAAAAAAAGATCTGGATAACCAAACCACTTAACTAGAGTCATCGCATCTAAGTAGTTTTGTTGCATGTAATGATTGTCGTCGGTAAAAGAAGATGGTATAATAATACGGTTTCCCATCAAAGAAGCAGCTTCAATGCCTTCTTCAACTGCCTAGGCCAAGTTGCGATAAGGTGCCACTTGTAATGTTGGCTGGTTAAACATATATAATTAAGTTGTTCATTTTCAATCATTGTATACGAATCAACCAAAAACTGTTGGAATAGTTTTCTTGAACGTAATATCAATGATATTTCATCGGTTCTTTGTTGTATACGATAAGCAAAAACTCTCGTATGGTCAACCTTATTCGTCCATCAGATTATCGATCATCAACACCACGATGTAGTATATCGACTCGAAATCCATCTTCGGCATAAAGGTATAATAAAGGATATTGAAGTGCAAGATACTGAGGATGCAACTCATTAATACGTTGACATTGTCCACTTTGCGTTTCCAAGACGATATCCCTCGAATCATACCCATCAATGTCACCTATAATGAGGGTAGCTACCTCATTTTCGGTAGAAAGATTATATTGCCTACCATCATTTTCTCTTGACCCAATCAATTTCAACCTAATACGCTCTGTTGGATTTGAACCAAAGCGATCACGCGCCATTCTAAATTGTTTAACTAGTGGATTAATGAAATCCAATAAGCCCATCAACTCGTGAATAGTCCAGAACTCAAGAGAAAACGGATTTGCCATGGACTCAATAGATGTGGTCTTTTTCTTCTTATTAGACCTACAATAACATAATAAAAAAATAATGGATATAAATTTTTTGTAGTATATATATATATATATATATATATATATATATATATATATATATATATATATATATATAAGTAATGGAGTTATATAAATAGGGCATTCACACACTCGCATGATTTGGATCTGTTTTTGAACCTCATGATCTGTATCATATATGTACAACTGGCAAAATCTTGGTGATTCACCCTCTTCGGGAAGTAAGCTGCCTGCAATATGATAATTTTGGCCATGCATTCGATAAACATAAGGACCACCTCTTGAGTTAACTGTGTGATCAATCTTTCCATCCATAGATGTGAATGCGAACATCATATTGTATCGACGTATATTCTGTATAAAGTTTTGACTTTTTTCCGAAAGACGGATATATAAATGAAGCAACAACTAAGGTGGGTGAATCAGACTGAGTAGTTCAACTTTTCCATTGTAACAGCAAATGGAATAACATGTTTTCTTTAAATCGTTATTTCCTCGAATTGGTTCTCCCTGCCACACCATAGCTTTACATACTGAGCAAACATATACAGCATCTCCAGAATCCAAATAATCTATAAATAAATAAACAAATTTACGAAATTATATTTGTGGTATGCTTTAAATGTAATAGGGAAAAGACATTTTATTTTTCATGACAAATAATTTGTGGTATGGATATAATACCTTTGCTTATTCCGATATATTTACTATCATTGTTACTGGTTACATCATTCTGAGCATTTGAAGTAGAAGGAATACATATTTGTGTCTTCTTTTTCGTAGAAATTGGTGTGCCTCTTTTTTTCTTTTCTTTATAGTTAACGCTGGTACGAACTGAAAAATGTATAACTGTATGTATGAATAAAATATATAATAAAACAACTAAATGATGAAGTTGATCATTATTAATAGATAAACGATCATGTTGAACAATATGGGTACTTGAAGGTTCAACGAAATCTGCATTCAACTCAAAAAATGGAATATCTTGTGTATTAAATTGTTAATGTTTCGTTGTTATTGAATAAGTTGTGTTGTGCTGAATTGTATCTTGGTTGTTGGAAAAGTATGGAGGTAATTTGGTAAACTTTTGAGCAACTCGACAATTAGGGGGTATGAAGAAAATATTTTCTAAAAATGAAAATTTGTATGATAATTTAGCGAAATATGTAAATAAAATATATGAATTTAATACACATAAGCATACAAAAAAAACAAAAATTGCAATACAAAAGAGACATAACATATAACAAAATGTACCTTTGCGAGAATTTCTTTGTATTGTCTGAGATGACGGTGTTTTCAAAGCATTCGATGAAGAGGGTGAATGAACTAAAGAGGAAAAGTATATATTAAACATTAAATTAAATAAGATATTAAAGGAAAATGATAGTTACCGAAATTAGATATTATAGATATATATGTATTAAAAAAGATAGTATTACAAATTAGATATTATAGACATATATGTATTAAAAATAAAATGTTAAAAGTTTATATATTGGGAAGTTAAAATTGACTTTATATGATTTAAGAAGTGAATGTAAATACAATATAAAAGAAATTAAGAATACTAAACCTTGATTGGTTAGCTGTGAAAGTGGTGATCTTGAGGAAATAAATGTGGATTGAACTCGACAATTAGGTGGTATCAAAAAATTATTTTATGAAATGAAGATTTGTATCATAAATGGAGGAGAAATATTAAAAAATATTAATAGTACAATAAATAAGCAACTATAAAAAACGAAAGTATAAAAAGAAAGATGCATAAAATATAAGAAAATGTACCTTTGTGGGATATTGTTTGTAATGTTGAATGTGATGATGTTTTTAGAGCATTGGATGAAGATGATGCATTCATTAAGGAACAATGGTATGTATATCAAGAACTCAAATGAAATATAAAGAGAAATGAGTTATACAAATATAAACAGAATGCTTAAATATGAATTTTACCATTTGTGATCTTAGACAGTGGTGTTGTTGGGGAAGTGTTGTTGGGTGAAACATTAGTAACAAACCTTGTAGGTTTTTTCTTTCCAGAAGCATTTGAAATGTCACTCATTTCAATATGTTTGATAAGTTTTACGTTCTTGGTCATATCTCTCTTTATATATATAGTGATGATGATGATTTGTAACACTTTAAATAAGGGAACTGGATATTTGAAGGGTTTAAATTTGGTAAAAAATAAATATCGCATATAATTAACTAAAGTAATGAAATATTAGTTGGATTTAAATTAGGTAAAAAATAAAGTCTTCATATAATTATGGAGGGAATAAATGCAGTATAGAAAAATTGATTTTGATTACATATTCCATTATTTTATTCAGTTACCATATGAAAACCATGCAAATTTATGCAAATAAAATTTAAATTTGACTTTAACAAATAAAAATAGGTGAAATATCATATATAATAAAAATATAAATTTTCGTGTAATATATATATATATATAAATTAGGTAACTGAATATTATAAGGGTTTAAATTAGGTAAAAAGTAAAGCATGCATATAATTAAGGTAGGAATAAATTAAATATAGAAAAACACATTTTGAATACTTTCATTATGATTTTATTCTGTTACCATATGTAAATTTTTATATAATAAATTTATAAAATCAAATGATGAACAAAAGAAAAAAGAAAGAAAATATGCATTAAATCAAAAGAGTTCAATAATTTGAAATTGTCATAACCTCTAATTCTATCATTGTATACACACCAAATAAAAAGTCAATAAAATTTTGAAAACAACCAAAATATCAATAAACAGACAATTAAAAATGCAACACACAAAACATTAAAAAGAAAATATCTATAAACATATCGAAGATGATATGTAAAATTTTGATGGGCGGATTCATATTAGTCTAACTTTTCCAACTTTGGGATCTTCAAGGTATCTCGTACAGCACGAGTTTTTGAAGAAGACCACTCCAAAGAGTCAGTGTTGGCATCAATCTCAATAGGGCCCTTCCCCGTACTCGATGATGGTGTTACAACTTTAAGGTCAACAACATCAAGATTGTCATCATGCACAAAATTAATATTTTCCTGTAGAAAATAGAAAATAATAAAAATCGATCAAGAAAAATATAAAACAAAACATAACATATTTGCACAAAGTCATGAAAAAATAAAGAAAAATGTATTGAGGAGAGGGCACATGGTTTGACTTTGGAAATACATGAGACAGTTACCAACCTTCTTTGCCTTGTTAATAGGAGTACCATTATCATTTATATTATGATGTTGATGATTTGGTGGCCGTTTAAAAACCTCAGCAAGAACCCTTTCATCATCAGTTAACTTATGCACAGTGTAAGCACGATAGTTGCTCTGCAGATTTGAACATGGATATCTGAACTTTGAAGACAAACTTCTTATTTAGAAGGATTTTAAACTCATCAGGTATCTGTTGTCGCCCTTGATCCTAATTTACATTATAAAATGGTTGGAAAAGTTAAAGAAGAAAATCATATATGTCGATCATTTAAATAACGGAGATATTGGATCAAACCTTTGCTATTTTGTCCATCAACCATTAGTTTCCACGATGAATAAGATCTTTTACGTGACACTCAAACAATACAAACGAAGAAGACCCACTTTCATCTTGCACACGAACTACTATCCTAATCCTAAAAATTATAACATAATACTTATATTTAGCTTGACATAGACAATGAAATATATGAAAAAAGTGAAATACATGCATAGTCAAAGAGATAATAATTACTTACTTTCCAAATACATCCGAGACAAATCCACAACCATCATAGTGAAAAGGGCCAGCATCAACATCATCATCATTTTTAGTAACTTTTTTAGAACAATCACGGCAATAAAATGAATATCAACCGTCATTCATATCAAAACCAACGATAGTAGCGATAATGGTTAAACAAACTTCCTGTTTCATATATAGGATTGAAAGGAATCATATTAAAATATTATTTCATATCAACTATACATAGAAAATCAAAACAATAATAGAATGCGGAAACTGTTATATAAAAATGTTAAGTAAACCTCATTAAAATCAGGAATCTCATCAATGTTTTTTATCAGAAAACCGAGGTACTAATCCTATGGATTAGCCACAACAGTATATGAGTTGAGCTGGGATGTACGGCTAGAAGAGTCAACATGGGTATCCAAAGCATTAAGACTACATATACAAAAAAGTGAGGTTATTCAACAAAAGTAATGATTAAGTAAGAAAAATGTGTTAACTATGGTAAATAACATACTTTGATTTGAAATCCAAAATCTTAGGCATATCATCATTTATATGCAATCTAGACCCAAACAAACAATTACCAACTTGAGGCTGACCTGCAAAAAAAGTAAAATAATATTGTCAGTAATTACTTTGAAGTTGAAATGATAATTTGTTGTAAAAAATAATGACCACCCAAAATTGTGAATTTGGCCAAACGTAGCAGGATAATAACAGGAGCAGTATCATTATTATGTTATGAAATGTAAGTATTCAGCTTCATTGCAAAACTGCCCCACAAAGCCACTACAATTCTCGTACCACTAAAAATGCATGGTGGTTATTAATGAAATATAAATATAAACGGGGGAATGTGTAATAATAGTACTAATATGTACCTTAAATCTGGAGAAATCAGATTCATTAACCTTTTCTCTCTTCCATACTCAACAATGACTCGCATGGGATCGGTTGACACAACTTCACCTAGAAAATCTATGTGAAAAAATGTAATAAATTAGTAATAATAATCCAAATGTGTATGACATTAAAAATTAAAGTATAGAAATAAGTTAAACTAATAACATAACATACCAAATGCAACACGAGTGTTAAAGATCCTGGCTAGCAAATCTGGGAAAGAGATAAAATGATAAGGATCTATTGTATCAACAAAATCAGTGGATACACGAACTTTTGTGGTTTTGTTGAAATTTATTTTATGTTTATGAGGAACAAGCATGTATTCGCTTTCATTGCTAGCCATATCGAAGTTACTGATCTCTCGAACAGCTCCTTCATCAAATAGGGATTCAAATACAGGAATAAGATTTTTTTTATTGTTGGTTAAATTCTACTTCCCCGTAGGTGACAATGAAACATAAAAAAGTGTAAAAAAAGTATTAAAAAAAAGGAACAATAAGAGATTTCATTAGATAGACTAAAGTTTATTATTAAAAATAATAAATTTGATTATTAAAATTATATGAATAGAAGTAAAAAAGCATAAGAAAAATCGAATTTAAATTTATTTGAATAGAAATAACATAAGAATTTGATAATCTAAAAAATAAAGTGTGTAAAAACAGTACCTCCTGATCAATTAAAATCATGTCCAGGCTTGCGACCATATTAAGATTGTTTATATAGGTCGGTTTCCACAGCATGACGACCTTAACACGTAGGTTCCAACAATCTTTGGATGTGTTGATTTCAGCAACCTTATCAAAGATGACCTGATCTGCATTGTTAGCTGCTATGGAATACTATTATCAGCAATGAAAGGGGATAACAACGAAAAGGGATAATTAGTTTGAGAGAATTTTGATTTGTATTGAAAAATCATATATAGTATATTTATAGGGAAAAATAAATTTGGTTAATGCTAATATTTCATAAAGATTTTGGAATGTAATATCATTTCCATACTTAAAGTATGTTTTATATATGGTATGATATCCAAAATAATATTAGTATACCATGTCAAATATAAGTACAAAAATAGATAAAATCATACCATATTTAAGATAATAATTACCATATAAAAAACTGTAAATTTGAAAAGCTTTTAGAATAAGGAAATTATATAATAAATATATAATATTTTCATAAATATGGTATGATATCGAAAATAATATCAATATACCATGTCTAATATATTTACAAAATATAGGGAAATATAAATTTTGTTAATGCTGATATGATCTAGGAATTGAAAATTTTAGTTTTCAATTACCATATTTAGTAGGGATTACCTATTTCAATTAACATTTGACAAATTTAATATTATTTGAGGTAAATAGCTAAATGTTATGTTATTGTTTATTTATTTATTAGGAAATTCTTATTTCCGTTATCTTATTATTATTTGTCATAAAATATATAACTGTATAATAAGAAACTATTTAAGTTATTAATATTTCCACTTTTAAGTTTCAAGATTAAAGTAATCAAGGTCCAAATAAATAAACCTATAGGCAATTAGGCATGATATCAAAAGGTTGGCCGAATCACATAAATCAGCTACATGGATAAACCAAATGAGAGTATTTTGATAAATACATTAATTTGAATTACAAAACATGATGCAAGTTTAATAAATATACATATTTGATTTTCATGGCATATGCTACTGTGATTGCGAATTTGCTATATGTATATGTTAGTTTACAAAAACAAAATGTGACGATCGGATAAGAAAAAAAATATATAATAAACATATAAGATTTCAATAAATATGAAAATATAATACAAATTAATAAAAAATTAATAAACTTTTATTGCCATTGTCACCATCTAAAAGAGGTAGAAGGATACACAAGAAGAAGAAGTATGATGGATTTTAATTTCTCTAATTTTTATTGATAAACTATTATGTAGGATTTGGTTTGAACCAAGCAAAATCTATCAAAAAAAAATAATGTTTGAATTTTTTATTTAAAAAGAGATGATAAGGATAATTTGGTCTTTTTGCAAAAATAGAAGAGTTAATTGAATTTTAAAACCAATGTCAACATTTTCATTGAATTTTAAATTAATTATAAAACACCACAAGAATAAAAAAAAAGTAATAAAAAATACCATTTTCTTTGAATTTGACAAAACCATTGAAATAATAATCGCGTATTTTTCCCTCCATTAGCCCATCCACAGTTGAGATTTCCAATGTCTATGAGAAGAAGAGTAGGTTCAGTGGAAGAAGACGACTTCTCAACACCTTCAAGCTCATATAGAATATGTCCAGCAGCACTTGCATGAGCTTTAATCTATCATTATTAATTATTTCATTACTCATTATTATTATAACAAATATAATTAATAGATAAATAAGGTTAAAAAAAAGGCAGAATTAAATTACCTTATTGTTGTAAAGCTCTTTAGAAGACCTAGTCATTATAAGTCCATGCATGCTATATTGCACATTCAGCATAGACATGATATCATCTCCATATAAATCTGCAAGGAGTTCAAAAAGAATGTTTCCTAATCCCTTTTTTCAGCTTCAACACTTAAAATTGTTGGAGGAAGTTGTAAATGATCCCCTGAAAGTAAGCACCTTGAACCCTAAAAAAACAAAATCCCTTTTACTTCAATCATCCAATATGTTGCCAATTAAAAAAAAAAATGTTTTGTTAAGTTACCTTGAAAAGAGCAATCCAACAAGCAATCTCTAGGCCTGAGCAACTTCATCAATATTGAGTAAATAAAATGAAATTCCATCTAATTTTCTTGATGATGAACCTGTGAGAGTTGCTAGAACGATAGATGAATTTTTAATTACATTTTTCAGAAGTTGTTTCCTTTTGCCTTCTTCTTTTGAAAGAATCCTAAGTTTTTATGGATTTCCCTCTTTGTGGTTTTATCTTTAGCATTCAATAAGTTACTATTTAGTACATGAGACAATTTAGAAATTAAATGTAGGAATATTATTGATCAACTCCTTGAAATACCTGCACTTATATTCTCAAATGCAAGACTACTATTGATTGGTTCTCCTCTTGTATGACTCATGGTACACCTATAGTAAAGGAAAGATGGAAAAAATCTATCAGAAATGCTGGAAAAAATAGAGCTTTTAGACTCTTAAAGACAAAGGTATCTTTCGATTAAATATGAGAAGAAAGGTGAAGGCATATAGATATAAATATACTTTCTTTATCAAATAAACTTACACTTTCATCATCTCTAGGTAAAAAGGCCTTGCACATTCTGTAAATGATAGATTATCAGTTATGTACATTTAAAATTAGCATAACCAGGCTGTAAAGAGAATAGACAATCACCTGAAATTGTCAACAAGAATGGTTACTTCAAATGCCAATAGAGAAAGGAAGACAATCTGCAGGCTTAAAGGTAGAGGCTTAGTAACTGCATAAAACAAAATTAGTATGGAATCAGAACCGGTATACATGGTATTATTTTCAATCGAAAGTCACATAAGAACTTCGGGTAAACATGTTTAGAGGGGATAATCTAGATAAAAAAGGAGCCAAATCTCAAAGCAAACATAAGTGCACAAAAACCCCAATAAGCGTTAATGATATGAATTCAGATACGTGAACCGAAAGTTCAGTAATCAGTACAAAGCTACAATCGAAGCTGATTTCTTAATGAAAGAGATACAATTTGAAGATAGGTTTTCAAATTACAGGTCTGATTAATTACAAATGTCCATCAAATTAGGCCATTATTATAAGTTTATAAGCATCCATTGTTGAAATTGATAGGGTTTGGGGGTTGATTTTGTTATAGATATGGGACATAGCTGGACAGGAAAGACTCCAAAGCCTTGGTGTGGCATTTTATCGTGGTGCAGATTGTTGTGTTCTTGTGCATGATGTGACTGTGATGAAGTCATTTGAGAGTCTTAATAATTGGAAGGAAGAGTTTCTTATTCAAGCTAGCACTTCTGATCCAGAAAACATGCCATTTGTTGTTTTGGGAAACAAGATCGATGTTGATGGGGGTAATAGCAGAGTGGTAATATGGTCATTTTGTCATATTAAATTTAAATTCATCAAGATTCAACTTCCGATACACAAATAACAAATGGAATGCAAAAACACATTTGTTTAATCTACTTTCTTGTTTTCAGGTGTCGGAGGAGAAAGCAAAAAGCATGGTGTGCTTCAAAAGGAAATATTCGTTAGTTTGAAACATCTGCTAAAGAAGGGTTTAATGTTGAAGCTGCTAGAGAAGGGTTCAAAATGGAAACGCGTTTAGGGTTTTCAAAATCTTACCTGCATAAAGAACTCGATCTCCTAATCAAGCTTCAACATAGTTCACCTGCATCTGAAGTAGAACACACAGGATCGAAAATTGTTGATGGTCGACGCGGTGCACCTCAGGGCTTCCTAGGGTTACACATAGGATCGATTCCATATCAGTAGAAGTAGAATGCATAGGATCGATTCCATGTATATATGAAATCAATGGGGTTACACATATCACCAGAAGGAAGGGGTTAGGGTTCATATCTATTGCGTTTCATGAGGAGCTGATTGTGTTGATTGTGTGGAGAGAAAACATAATAATGAAATTAGGAATGAATCGTAAGAAGGAAGTTTTATTTGGGAGGCGCGTGTATTTTTTTGGGTTAGGATGATGTCAGAAAAATGATCCTAAGGTGGAGACTAAAGGAGGGAAATGCAATCAAGGGCCCTTGTTTCTTAATTGAAGAATTTAAGGTTTTGTTTTAGTAATATTTAGAGATAATCATTGGCAAACTAACTTAAGGCAACAATGGACTTAATGGATTAAGTCCTTAGTGGGTTAAGTAAGAAAAACTTAACCCTAATCATCTTTTCATGTGAAAACACTAATTTTAGGATTATAGGCTTGGACATATCGGGACCCACATTTGGGTCATTGGAAGGGAATTGTGTATTAAGCCCAATCACACCATTTGACTTATTTAGTAAAGTAAGGGACTTAATGGATTAAGTCCTTAATGGGTTAAGTGAGAAACACTTTACCCTAATTGTCATTTTATATGAAACCCTAATTTCACTTGGACTCTATGTTGGGCTTTTCTATTGGGCCTTGGTGATTAGACTATGGATGGGCTTTAGGGTAACGCCCATGTGAGAGACTTGGGCCTAATTTGGAGAATTAGGCTATAGATGGGCTATAGTTTAGGCCTTTATGATTATGTGACATTGGGCCATCAGAATGTCGAATGTTAGACTGGACTAAATGGTTAGGCCTTATCGCAAGACCTTATAGAGGTTTGGGCCCAAATTGGAAAATTGGGCCATATGTTTAACTTGTGCCTATTACTTGATCTTTGTGTCTTTGGAGTGTGTGTTGGACCTTGGGCTTGGAACCCAATTATTAATTCTGTATTGTTTGATGTTGACAACTTGGGATTCTATCAACCAGCAGCAGGAGTTTTGTCTGCGAGACTTCAGCAGTACCAGGTGAGTTATCCTAACTATACTCAAGTGTCTAAGGCACCAAGATAGACCCTTTGGATTGTTATCTGGTTATGTAATGCTAGTATGATCTATTAGATTGGTATCCTAGAGGGTAGGATAGTATTATGTAGTATGTGGTATGATCTGTTAGATCGGTATCCTGGTAAATTGGATGGTATTATGTGCTATGTGGTATGATCTATTAGATCAATTGTTGTCTATAGATTGTTATGTGATTATCTGTTATATATATATATATATATATATATATATATATATATATATATATATATACATATTTGCTTGGCGGTTTAGGCTCATCTGCTTTGTGCAAAAGCCAATAGACTTAGGCATTCCAAGCTGTTGGTTGTGGGCCGTGAGTATTCCATCCCGAGGATGATCGGACTCATAGTATGTGGGCATTCCAACCTGTTGGTTGTGGGCCTAGGGTATTCCATCCCGAGGATGATTGGACCCATAGTATGTTGGCATTCCAATTTGTTGGTTGTAGGGCAGGGGTATTCCAACTCGATGGTTGACTGGACCCGTAGTATGTTTTTTATGAACATATGTGTAATTTTTTGTGGGTATGGGTGTTTTGAGGGAACTCACTAAGATTTGTGCTTACGGTTTCAGTTTATTATTTCAGGTGCTACAGATGTTTTGGCAAGGCGAAGGTGTGACCGTACACATCCTCATGTTTTGGACTTATGGGTTCTGGGATACTCTGATATTAAACTATTTTGAAACTTTTTGTAATAGCTAATGGTTTTTGGATGTTTGAAAAATTTTCAATTGGCTTGAATTTTATATGTGTTACATATAGCTCTTCAACGACATAAAGTTGCCCACTTTTTCCAGTTTAGGCCCTTTCACTGCACTATAACCTTGTATGAACCCTTTAGCATTTTAGCTATTTGAGGCCTTGCATGCATGTAAACTTTGCAACTTTATGTGACAACTACACTATAAGGGGTTTGATCTGTAGTTCGGAGTTGGATCCCACTGGAGGGGACTGAACACAAAAGGGCTGAAGGGACTCGGCGAGTTTCTTAGCCAACTCGACGAGCCTGGGAGGGTTTTGCTGTTTTCAGGATTATAGTGATTTCGGTGAACTGATTAAGAGATATTGGTTTAGAGTTTTCAGTCCTTGGACATTAAGGAACTCGAGGAGTTACTCAGCTGACTCGGGATTTCAGTTGTATGGATTCTGAAGGAATTTGACGAGTTGATGAATGCACTCGACGAGTTGGGTTCAACAAGGACTATGGACCTTGAATATTGACCTTGACTTTTACCTGGGTTGACTAGGGTTGACTTTGTGGGTATTTATGGTATTTTTGGAGTTTGACAAGTTAATCACATCATGATGATAGGCAGCCGACTTAGATCTGTGCATTCGGACTCATTTAATCTTATCTTGTCAGTTCAGCATTCTCGAGAGGTGAGTCTCCTCACCATACAAATGGGTTGAAAGCACCAAGGCCGACCCATTTTATGATATGTGGTACACTAGCTGAAGTTATATTATGAGACATGATAGTTGGTTATGTACTAGGTAGTATGCTAGTTCTATATGTGTTATGCTTCTATGGAAGACCATGGGAGGGCCCATTGTGAGAACCCAAACGTTTTTCTTTCAACGTTAGTCAAATTCTGTTAAATAAAATTTTGGGTATTATTTATGCCATTAAATTCTTACGGTTAAGAAATTTGTATTATTTATATAATTAAATTTTATATAAGATTCGGGACCAAAATCGCACAAAAACCCGAGTTTTTCATCGAAAATCAAAACAGCCAATTCTCATTCGTCCCGGTGTTCACGAGCAAGAACTCGATCACTACCGTAAACTGTTCACAACCCGGGACCCGCCTCCGACAATGAACCCAACCTATATATATGTTCTTACCCTCATTTCTACACGGCTATTTGAAAACACTACTTTCTCTCTCTAAAACCACCAATCGAAAACCCAAGATTTCACTCATCTACCATCCGAAAATCACCTTGGAACTTGTTTTGGAGCATCAAGTATTCATCACTTCATCAAAATCAAGCACCCATCGTTTTGGGTTTACGGTCGTGAACCCTTCAAACCTTCATATTTTCACCAAGAACACCAAGAACATGTAGTAAACCATTCAAGGGTCGAAATCAGTTCACGGCCGAGAACAGTTCACGGCTGCAATCATCTTAAACCGTGACCATTAGCTGAAAACCCACTTTTTCTGATCCAAAAGCAAGTGTTTTCCAACACTATAATTAATGGTCCGCTAATAAAATGCATATATGTGTTTAATTATTATTAGGATCCCCTTAAATCCACGTACAACAGCTCGAGGGTCCTCATTCCAGTTTCACAGTCTGACACCGTCACACAACCAACAGTGAGTTCATACCCCTATGCTTTTACTAATTTTAACATTTTCAGGGGGGATACAAGCCAAACACAAATGATTTTGTGCACGTATACAAAATAATTTCACCAGGTTTAAAACTTATGCAATTGATACAACCAAAATATTTCAACATTTTATAAAAGATTTAGATATTTTATCCATTCTGTAACATGTTGAGCATAAGGGATATTTTTAACTTACAATGATAATTGAATAATTTTCAGATCAATACATGAACCAAGTATATAACATAAATGCAAACTATAAGAGACATAGTTTGGGATTTCAATACAAAGTTTTACAAATTCAGAGCTTATACATTAACAAACATATGAACTATGGTAGACTTAGTTTATGATATACATTACTACTTTTGGATTTCAGGAGTACTACATTAAATAATTTTTTAAGTATAATTATTATTACTCTACAAGGTATACAAACAGATTCAAATACAAGAGAACAATAAAGAACTACACGTAAACTAGTTAATACATGATTGCGAGACATCTCTTCAATTGTACCCTTCGGGATACGAAATAAACCCTATCACTTTAATAATCTCTTGTAATCTCAGGAAATCAGTAGACAGGTACTCCTGCAGGCTGTTGAGAAGACGGGCGTATAGAGTCATGTCTTTTATATTTTACTATATTTTGATGTATACAAACTATGTATCAAGCATATGTAAATACTTATATCTCAATGTAATGGTTGTGTTTAATTTGATTACTATGATGCAATTTATAGTGAACTAAGTATATTGAACTTTACGTGGTATATAACTATAAATGCTTTCAATTAAAAGTATACTTTTAAAAATATAAGTATTTTATAAGAAGTATAGAAGTATATATACATACCAGAAGCAGTATCACAAGTAGAACAAAACAAAAGTATTTGGATGTTGGACACTGCAGTTAAACCTGGATAGTTATGTAATCATGTCTAGAATAAATATAGCCTTATCAACATAATTTATTCGAGACACGACCAACATGTGTGGGAGTGACTGTAGTGTTGCAACAAGCCTAAAACTTACCAAACTATATACAACAAGGGAACGATAGAATAGAACATACAACTTAAAATACTATAGCCGTATTTTATCTAGAGACAAAATCCATATAGAGTTTTATTCCAAGTGTTGCTTCTTATTTCTTTCTATCGATAGTTTACATGTATTGGTAGCTTTTCTTTGTATATCGCTTAGTTAAACACTTTATCTATCAGGTTGAGATATGTATTGTTCCATATCACTTGATTCTAAATTCTAGGGGAATTACCATCCCGTTCTTCTTGATTATTTTAGAGTAAGATGCCTCCGAAGAAGAGACCCAACAAAAAGAAGAACAATCTCCCAACAGATCCGTCACCGCCACCTCCTCAGTACGACCTGATTGTCCTCTAAGCAGCTATGAAAGCCCCGTGGCTGCTGCAATGTCGCAAATTAACGCCAGCGGTGCAAGTGGAGTAGGTAGTGGTGCCCTAATGTCCAATATCAGTGACATCCATGGTCACACAAGGGAGTTTACATACAAATATTTTTTTTTATGCTAAGCTACAGTCTT